AAGATCACGTGATCTACAGCGGCACGCGGCTGTGAGAGAGTGATTCTCCTGAGCATATCTGGTCTGTCCTATCTACTGTCCTCCATTGTGTTAGTGGGGTGAGTCCACGATCCATTCAACGTGCTATCTGTTTTGTATTGTCGTCCATGCTATTATTATTATTATTGTTATTGTATTGTATCTCTTTAGAAAATCCTTCTTTGTATGATGCTTCACAAAGCATTCCTTATCTTGATTGGGTCATTCAGAAGGCACTACGCTTGTATCCACCAGCACCAACGTAATTGAGTACTATGGTCCTTTTTTAATTTTATTTACTATTTAGTATGAGCTGTTTGTGTAATGAGACATGTACAACTAATGGCGTCACAACCCCTGAAGGATGTAGATTTATTATTCTGATACTGAAGTCTGAAGATACATATGTCACCAGAGTATTGGGATCAGCCTGAAGTTTTCAATCCAAAACGGTTAGATCTAGTTAAAAATTTAATCATTAATGATTCCTCTTGATGTACAGGTTTAGTTTAGAAGGCAAGGAGGGTAGGAATCCTCAGGCTTACATTCCTTTTGGTTCAGGACCAAGGAGTTGTATTGGAATGAGGTTTGCACTAATGGAGGCTAAGGCTTGCTTAGTGAGTATATTGAGGAAGTATAGGTTTGAAAGATCACCTGATACTCAGGTTAGCTGATCACAATCATGGGAGTATTAACTTACGGTATATTTTTTTATTTATGCATGTAGGTACTGTTGAAAATGGTAGTAGCTGCTTTGCAATATCCAAAAGATGGTATTTATCTTAAAATTGCAAAAGTTTGAATGAACATACGACTGATTCAGTCTCCTAGTAGTTGACTTATTTCTTTACACTGACTATACAAGTTTGATTGTCAATTTATTACTTTTTACTGTGTCTGATATTTTACTTTATCCATTAATTTTTGCTGCATAATTAGAATTAAAGTCATTAATACGTGCTTGTCAGACAAGATACATGTAAGCAGTAAATTTTATTTTGAGGCTTTATTGCTTACCACTTGCCACATGCACAAACTTATTTAGAGAGCCTGTGGCCTTGTTCTCATGCATGATTTAGCTTTAGCTACCTACAAGTAGAAAAAGAGATTTTCTATTATAAGAGTCTAGTTTAGCATGGTAGTTTGGTTATCTTTTACGTCCTAAATAAATAGAAATATGTGGTAGCTCCCAGCTGGAACGCTATGACTACTTTTATCTGATACGTAATGTAGTCATACACTCTAATTAGTATTGGTGTCACATTGGACATTTTGAGCAAAAATTTATTTTTGGAAGTTGCTATTGAGTCTGTATCAATTACATGTAAAATGAAGGGGTACTGATGAGAAGTTGTATCACATTTTTCACGTCATATGTATTTATTGTACATTAAAAATGTTATTTAGTTTATTGTGAAGGAGAGAGAGAGAGAGGAAGGAGGGGGAGGGCGAAGGGGGAGGGTGAGGGTAAGGGAGAGAGAGAGGAGGAGAGAGGAGTGAGTAAGGGATAATTGAATGAGTGTAGGAATTAAAGAGTTAGAGGGAACTCAGGGGAAGAGAGAAAGTGAGTGATGAAGAAGCTAATAATTATTTCTTGAGGACAATGAATGTGCTTAAGAGTATTCTTCTACTTATGTGTATTAACTCTTAAAATGCAATTTTTTATAATAATGATAAGGTAGATCTATGTATTCATGTCATTATACAATTTAATATTAGTCATACAGGGAAATGACCAAATTTAGTCATAAGAACAATAACAGCTGCAGTAGGAAGTACAAACATTTGGTCACTGATACGCTTCAGGGGATTCTCGTATGACAATGATGAATACTTGATAATAGTCTAGTCTAGTATAGTACCGAAATACACCCACTTTTTTGTGCTCTACTTAGTGAGGGCATAGAAAATTTTGTTCTTGAGTTATTCTCAAGATGATTGATGTCTCTCAATGGAGAGCAAGTATTGGACTGTGGAACTACTGTCAAGCTGCCTCCAGTAGACCAGCTAATGGCCGCCACTCTTACTCATTCAAAGCTAAAGTCGAGGCTAAAGTAGACAGCTGGTCAGGCCATACTACATCAGGAGAGAAGACATCTAAACTGCCAGCAGTTCTGTCTTTCACTGTTTCCCTTCTTTTATCTTTATTAAGATGTATAAAGTTCATTTTTTCCCCTTCAACTGGTAAACAATTTAAGAGTCTATATGTACATAGTTTATTATCATAATATGTATTTATAATAGGTATAATTTCTGGTACAGCTATGATCTGCCTCCAGTCATTAGTCTTGTTTATAGCTACTATTTGCAGTAACTCTGACCTGATCTATTATTTGGTTTTACTTCTCCTCCTCCTGTTATCAGGAGATGTTGAAGTCAATCCTGGTCCTATGATTGATGATCAACCATCTTGTCTCTTATTTGCAAAATGTATTAAACCACTTGTCGACTGGAAACCATTTGCTCTTTGTCTTCCTGGAATGACACAATCTGATGTCAGTATAATTGATAAAGCAAAAAGAAATGCTCACCTCCAAAAAATGGCTTTACACAAGAAATGGCTACAAGCTAATCCTCAGGCATCATGGAGAGATGTCATTAATGCTTTGAAACAATGTAAAGAGAATGAACTAGCTAGAACTATTGAACATGAAATGGAATGGTCTACTGGAGGAGCTAATAATGATGGCAATACATCAACGAATCCTACTGGAAAAAATTCTAATGATAATATGGAAGCCATGACTAAATTTAGTACTAATCCTGGTCATATAACAGGTAAATATGATATACTTAATATACAATGTCTCCCATTAACAGATACACTATACACTGCAGGTAATCTAATGGATATATTAAGGACTCATTCTCACCTACTCACTGATGGAATTTCATGTAATCTTTACAGAATAACAAGTGAACTACTTGCTAAAGGATTGATACCACAACAAGCTTTTGATGATGTACTTGTAATGGGAGTTATGACTGATTATACTAAAGCAATGAAACTGATGAGTGTATTGCAAAGACAGTTAGAATCATCTCTTAATCCAGAGCAATATCTGATTAATATATGTCATATATTAATAAACCAACACCACTGTACACTAACAGATATTGCTACCTCTATATTGCACCAGTTAGGTGAGCACATGTATACATTATCAGTGATCAATATATAGTCATTATATCTCAATACATTAGGTCAGTCTATACCTGATAATGTCAGTTCACATACTGTACTACCATCACCAGTTGATGATATATTTAATAATACAAGAGGTAAAAATTTTAATGTGCATATACAATTGTATTTATGTACATGTATTAATAGGTCAGTCTGATATAGCTAAACCCATTAGTGCAATACCTGGTGATGTTCAAGTATATGCTGACAATATGAGACAGCATTACAAACACCAACCTATTGTTGCTACAGACTGGCCACCAAGAATTGGAAAAGACTTCTTCGGAAGATTAGCACTAGTAGAAAAACAAGATTCCAATACACAAGCAGAGTCAGCTTGGCATCTGCTAAGAGGACAAGTTGATAAAACAGTTAAACTAACTGGCAACAAAGAAATAAGTGTTGAAAATGTCCTTCAACCCACACATAGTTCTCTGTCTCTCAGAGTAGTAATAGATGGTCCTCCTGGTATTGGCAAGACAACACTCTGTCGTAAACTGTTAAACATGTGGTCAAATGGAACACTGGTACACAGGCAGTATGACTTGGTACTTTACTGTCCTTTAAGGAATAGCAAGATTGCTACAGCTACTACACTAGCCGAGCTATTTGAGTTTAAAAGTTCCAAAGTTTCAAAAGTAGTTGATTGGTTGTCCGATAGAGATGGAGAAGGATTACTGATAATCTTTGATGGTTGGGATGAACTAAGTGAACACCACAGACAGTCTTCATTAGCTGCTAGTATCATTTATAGAAAGCAGTTAGGTCAATCTTCAGTAATTGTTACCTCTCGTACTTATGCCTCCTCTTCACTTTTAGAAATTTCTAATCTAAGTAGACATGTTCAGGTCATTGGATTTTCTGAGGAAGAAATATCAATAGTAATCATACAAACTCTTCAAAAAGATGCAAAACTAGCACAAGAACTCATTGATAAGAAAAGGGAAGCTGAGAAAAACAAAAAAACTTTCACGACTACTCAAAGCAGTAGGGACTCACAACTAGCAGTAAAACTCATTAATGATCTTAAAGTACGAGATGATGCTCAATCATTGTGTTATATACCACTAGTCTGTTCCATGGTCATCTTAGTTTATTGTAAGGAAGGGGGGCATTTGCCAACAACACTCACTCAACTGTATGAGAACTTTATCCTACAAACTATCAGAAGGCATGTTAAAAGACATGACAATAACCCACATACTTTAGGTAGTCTTTCTTCATTACCATCACAATTAGCTAAACCTTTACAAGAGATGTGTCGATTAGCCTATACTAATCTGGCTGATACAACAATGACATTCTCTTCTTATCAACTACAGTCACTGAGTGAGGCAGTCCAGGAAGACTATCTTGGATTGATGACAACATTCATAGAATATGATGAAGAGATGTATCAGTTTCTTCACTTGAGTATACAGGAATTTCTAGCTGCATGGTGGATAGCTAAGCATGAGAAGAAGACAGAGGAAGTTTTTAAGGATCACTTTGATGATGATCACTTTCGAATGTGTCTGAGGTTTGTAGCAGGTCTAACTCACCTTGAACATGAGAGCTATGAACAGTATTTTAATAAACAACAACTTGACTTACAGTGTAAGATCGAAGCATTGTTTGGATTTGAGACTTATCAACTATCCTACTTTTATCAGAATTCTGAGATTAATTTTAAAGAAACTGCTCATATCCTATCTGATGATTTTGACAGTATTCCAAATCTTTTGCTTCAACTCCTGTATGAATCACAGAATAAAAGATTATGTCAAGTATTAGCACAATCCATCAAGAACCACTTATTGTGTCTGGATAGAGTATCATTAGCATTATCATTGTTTGACTGGATGTGTCTCAGCTATTGTATAAGCAATTCTAACACAACATGGGATCAGTTGCATCTGGGTGAAGTATCTAATCAGTCACTATCAGTCTTCACTGCTGGACTAACCAATAACTCACTACAGACCCAGTGTAAGAGACTGGAGGTAAAGTTGAATGGACCCACTGATGAACTAATACACAAATTATTACAGTCAACACTCCTACACAATATTCAGGAATGCTACTTCGAATTATCACTAACTAGTCAATATGCTCCCTGTTTTGTCTTGTTACAGTTCCTCAAACTTCCTCAACTAAAGATACTGCACTTAAAAATGATTGGTCCTACTGTACCAACAGTTAACACTGATACAAACTACACAGACAAGTACA